AATGATCAGCTAGTTGATAGCTTCATTGCAAGAAACTGCCCGAGGGTCTGATTGACGAAGTTTGGTGTGCGCCCTAACGGCCAAATGTTCTTAACTACAAATTTCCTAGCACCCAATCTATACAATGTATGCAAAACATGTCATTTTTGTTAACATATCTTCATATTACGTATTCCAAACACTAGAAAATTTGAAACTCACCAACTTTTTTACCTTCAAACCCGTCGACATTTCATTTAAAAGTATTTTTGCGAGTTCCTAGGGTGCCATTTTGCTCACAACCCCAGAGGACAGATAGTTGAAGGAGTAGCCATTTATGCCAAATGAAACAAGAAAAACAGAACTTGTCAAATGTTAGACAAGTTCGCGTTCGTTGAATGCTTTTGTAAGATCATTTGCCACAGTTAAATTAAATTGGCCGATCTGATCTTCAAAAGAACAATTGCGGGGAGTGGTTGTTAGACCACAATGGGTTTATTTCGCATGAGTAGGAGATGTTTTGTATTTTGTGACTATGTGATAACATGCTTACATGACTAGATACGTATGGGGTTGGACTTTTGGGATGTTTGCGCCTATTAAATTCCTTGAGGTCTTATTAGAATGGTACTTTATCAATACTCATTCTACGAAGAATTCTTGGTCTTTCATGGGACGAATTTGATCACAAAAGGATAATCCGTATGTGCTTACGTGACTAAGTGCTTATGTAGAGTGGAATTGAATTGTTTATATGATAGAAAATATATTAAATTGTTGTGGTTAAACGTGTGAGAGAGATCGCAGGCACATTTGAGATTATGTGCTGAATTGTTTATCTTGTTCTTTAATTAGGATGCCAGGAAGGGTTCAAACCCGTAGTGTTAGAGGTGGAAGGCGTGGTAAGGCTCGCAGGGGTGTGCATGGAGTATCGGCCCATGAGGTTCCGGTGCAACAAGAGGGGTTGGGCCAAGCTAATGTGCCGAGCAAGTGGGACAAGCAGAAATTCCGGGACAAGCGGGTCAAGCCGCAATTGGAGCCCTAGCCCAAGAAATGGCGGGGGCCTTGAGGAAGTCGATGAATATATTAAGAGCGGGGAATCAAGCTAGAGAGAACGCCGTAGCGACGAGGGCGAGCTTTCTCACTAGGGAGTTTTTACGGGCCAAACCAGATGAGTTCCATAGTGGCCCCGAGCCTAAGAAGGCGGATGAGTGGCTCGAGCAAACGGTGAAGACATTTGAGATGCTTCACATTGAAGACAGTGAGCTAAGAGTGACTCTTACGAGTTACTACCTCAAAGGAGATGCGAACCAATGGTGGAAGTACGCCAAGGGTCGAGTAGAGCCGACGTGGGAAGCATTTATGGTGGCTTTCCAAGATAAATATTTACCTCCCACTGTTAGGGAGAGGTTGAGGCAAGAATTTCAAGATCTCAAACAACTTAATATGTCCGTGGCCGAGTTTGAAGCGGCCTTCTCTAGTTTGTCCCGGTTTGCACCGGAGTTGGTGGCAACGGAAGAACACCGTTGCATTGAATTTGAGAAGAAGTTGAGAACCAAGATCTTGTTCAAGGTTGCTGGAAATATGATCCGGAACTATGACTGTCTTGTGGAAGTGACGGCACACGTAGAGATTACCGTGGAGGTCGAGGAGAAGAGAATTCAGAGTTCAAGGTCTAGGGGTCAAGGGTCATACGGGGACTACAGACCCAACAAGAAGAGCATGCGCACTTTTCCAAGTCAGTCTCAACCGCAGCAGTCTAGATCCACCTTCCCTTTGCCTAGTGCAGGCCCGGGGAAGAGTGCACCGAGTGGTTTTTCCTGTTTTAAGTGTGGCCAACCAGGTCACAAAATTAAATGTATCACAATTGAAAAGTTAGGGACTAAAATGACACAAATCCCAAACTACAGGGACTCTGTGTGATTCATCCAAATTAATCACCAACAAACAATCATCCACCAAAAAAATTTTGAGCAGGGAAGTTATATGCAACATAAATGACTTGTTCGGCAATTCCTGTGCACCCATTTTTATTTTTAATTATTGTGTTTTGGATTTCTCTCACTCAAAATACATTTCTAAAATGTGAAGCTCTCCACACAAATACTAATTACCTACTTCCAATTACAATCTATAGACTCTATAGCATAATAATTGCACCATTTACTAGTTTTAAATACATACAACCATTTTAACAGGTACCACAATATTGGATCATTATATATATCCAAGCACAAAATGAATACAACAAGAGACAATACTAGAACAAACTCTTATTAGGTTGGTTTGCAGTTCTTCTCGCCTAGATCATCATGACTGGAATATTTGCTCTATTAACTATACTTTTTTTGGCTTCCCTTCTGACTGAAGCCTCTGTCCATGTCCTTGCATTATACGTGTTTGAGGACGCAATTGTTGATGGAGGAAACACGCAGCCAACTTCACCATATGGCATTGATCTTAACACAACAATACCTATTCGTTGGACTAATGAAAAATTAATGCTGATTTCATTAGTAAACTTTGGATTCTTTTTATTATTGCTCTCTGTCTCTCTCTCTCTATCTCTCCCCCTCCTTCCTTTTTTTCATGGTATTATACCCAATGATCCCAGAAATATCCTCTTGTTTGCAGCAAACTTCTTAGGATTGCCATTTCTTCCACCTTCCACAGATACTTCAGGATTGGAAATATCCAAAACTGATGTAAACTATGGACATGTTGGTTGTGGTTTATTGCGCCGAACTGGCCCTGTAATATAAATAACAACTTTTTTTTGTTCGAATTATTTTACTTCTCTATAAATGTACATGGTGATTGTATCAATTTTGATTTTAAATTTAATTTTAATTTTTGTAGAAGAATTGTTCTTTTGAAGATCAGATAGACCAATTTAATTTAACTGTGGCAAATAATCTTATAAAAGCATTCAACGAACAAGAACTTGTCGACAAGTTCTGTTTTTCTTGTTTCATTGGGCATAAATGACTACTTCTTCAACTATCTGTCCTCTATAAACGTACATGCTGATTGTATCAATTTTAATTTTAATTTTTGCAGAAGAATTGTTCTTTTGAAGATCAGATAGACCAATTTAATTTAACTGTGGCAAATAATCTTACAAAAGCATTCAACGAACAAGAACTTGTCCAACATCTGACAAGTTCTGTTTTTCTTGTTTCATTTGGCATAAATGACTACTCCTTCAACGATCTGTCCTATAAATATACATGGTGATTGCATCAATTTTGATTTTAATTTTAATTTTTGCAAAAGAATTGTTCTTTTGAAGATCAGATCGGCCAATTTAATTTAACCGTGGCAAATGATCTTACAAAAGCATTCAACGAACAAGAACTTGTCCAACAT